ATAATAGATTTTCAATAACAAAAATAAAATAATAGTCTAGCAATGTCATATAAATCAATTTTGTTTTTTTATTATCATTTTCTTCAAATAATATTGTAAAATTTTCATCAAAGTATATAGAATCACAGATATATAGTTTATTTAAATTTCTGTAATATTAAAAGTGTATAAAAAATTTAATCAATTTTTTTTATAAAGATTATATAAAAAATTGGAGATTCTGCCGGGTTAACCGGTGTCGGATCGCGGTTTAATGTTGGGTTTTTGCGGGGTGTTATTGGGTTTTTAATTAACAGATTTTTAGTTAAATTTGAACCGGATTATTTACGGATCATTATATTCATCGGTTAAACCGTAGATCTGAGTCGGGTTTTAAAACACTGCAATTAATAGTTTTTTTTTCAATTCAACCACTTTTTTGGCATCAATATTTATGTCAAGAAATAACAGTTAGTAAAAATACATAATATAATCCAAAAATACATATATTTTTTTATATTTTGTCATCAATAAATAGAAATGATTAAGAATAACAAAAAGAGCGAAGCGCATTTACGATTTTATTTTTTGACTTTTCTCATATATATATATATATATCAATTATTATTTTTTCCGTATAATATGAACCAATATGTTTAAAAGAAAAGGTGTAAGAGAAACTAAATGTGTAAAAATTATTATAAAAGGTAAAAGTATTTTATAATTCACATGCTGAATGGAACCACAATTTTAAATAATTTAATGTATTTTACTCACTGTTTATAATATAAAATCAACATTGAGAAAATTTTCTCAATGTAAAATAGTGACAAATGCATCATATATTTATAAAATTAAACAAAACATTTCCAACAACATTAATAAATAAATTAATATAGTGTTACTTTGATATTTTACCAATTAATCAGTGAAAGTAATATTTCAAATATATTATAAATTAAAATGAAATAATTTTATTTTAAATTCACCCGCCCGTAGGACGGGCTAACCCCTAGTTATATATAAAAGAAAATATGATCAAAATTGATGAATGAGAACACCACATGTATTTGTTTTCCACGATAAGACTGAAACATGTATAAAACAGAAATTAGTGATTTATAAATAAACCTTATTCTTATATTTCAGTATTGTGTATTCTTGTTAGAATTTTTGTATCTGATGATTATTGTCTTTGGTTGGCTAAAGAAAACCAATCGTTGGAGATTTTTTAAGAAGAAATTAAATATAAACAATTTTTTTTTTTTTGAACAGTTTTGAATTTATGTTGTCGAGTTCCAACCATAGATATACTACATATGTACTATCTGTTTACTATATCTTAAAAGTTGGATTAATGTACTGTATATGAATTTAGTCTAGTAGTTTTAATAAACTTGTCATATGATATATATTCGATCGGATTCACAAATACAAAACACCGCTTAGAATTAACTGGTTTCATAGTTATATAAGTGTTGAATATGATCTATATTACTCATGATTGAATAAGGTTTATAAAGTGTCAAATAAAAGAAACGCAATTAATTTTATGTAGTATAAACCTACAAGGCATGCTTGCATTAATTTTCAACCACTTCAACGGCTTAAATTTTACAAGGTTCACCACAAGTTTCAATCTTGTTTTTTTTCTTGGACATAGCATTTAATGAGCGTTAACTATAATACAAAGTCATTTTCTTGTGGAGAAAGAAAAGTAGCTGCATCCATGAAATGAGATTTGTGTTGGAATTCTTTTTCTTAGGAGGAATATTTTAATAATCTCAAAAAACATCGTCTAACTGAAAATTCATATCTTAGCCTTGTTGTTTTAGAAAAATGGTTTTTAGCGAGTCATATTACTAAACGCCAAACTATGATGATATTGCCTTATACTATCATCAATTAAATTTTGTAAACTATAATAAATTATCAAATATGATGCAATATATCAAAGATATGTGTCAATTATTACCAAAACAATGTCCTATATTAATTCTACTAGTTTAGCAATATTCTAATTTAGAAAACCAAAAAGTAAAAGTCGTATAAGACCAATAAAAAGAAGGGCTTATTAGTTCAGTAGCCAAATCTGGCATCTATATTAAGTATATAACATTGATGTTGACTTAATGTAATATTTGACATTTAGCCTCTTTTTCATCCGGTATTACCCTTTCCACTAGCAGGTATCCAGTTACATGGTATAAAATTAAATGACGTGTTCTTTAACTGTAGGTGAGTTAAATCACCAGACGTATGAATCGCATAGAGGAACATGATAACTATTTCTGTTCCATTCTAAATAGCTCATCCCTTCCATTCCGTTTTTATATTCATATGTTCCATTCTATTATTCTATTAAGTAGGCTTACGACATACAATATTAGTAGGTGGGATAGGAATTAGGTTAATCTTTTTCTTTTTTCTCACCTTAATCTCTTTCTTTTAGTGCCCCCATTTACTTTTTTGTATAAACCCCATAAATTTTCATTTAAAAGACAATTAAGAAAATAACTAACAACAATTAAGAAAATATAAACACTAGTACATTGGAGATTAACCCTTTTCTTATGTTAAAATGCTATGGAAATATAAACCCCAATTAAAAATGCTAAGGACGCTAATCACTAAACAAAAATTAAGAAAATATAAACCCCAATCCATTAACGATTAACCCCCTTCTTTTGATAATCTTCAAACAGTTTACCTATTTCTATTCCATTATAACTAGATCATCCATTCCATTCCGTTTTTGTATTCATATGTTCCATTCCGTTTTTTTTTATTAATTAGGATTACTACATACGGTATTAGGAGGTAGGTTAGAAAAGTGACTAGTACATTGTCATTTAAAAAGTTATGAACGCTCATCACTAAACAAAAATTAAGAAAATATAAACCCTAATACATTGGCGATTAACCCCTTTCTTATGTTAAAATGCTATCAAAATATAAACCACATTTAAAATGCTATGGACGCTAATCACTAAACAAATATTAAGAAAATATAAACCCCAATCCATTGCCGATTAACCCCTTCCTTATGATAATCTTTTTCATATTCTCACCTTAATCTCATACTTTTGTATAAACCCCATAAATTGTCAATTAAAAGGGTATGGACGCTAATCACTAAACAAAAATTAAGACAATATAAACGCTAATATATTGGCGATTAACCCCTTTCTTATGTTAAAATGCTAATCTTTACGTCCAAAATATTGTTTCTCTTTACAAAATCATATACACACTAATATAAAACACATATATATATGTACTGATACAAAACTTATGTCAATAAAACATGAAACAACAACAAGATTAAAACCTCTTCTGGTTCTCTTCTCTCGCGCAAGACCTTAGTCTTTTCATGTCGGTAAAAGTCAACTATTTCACCACAATTGAGTCCATGCCAAACTGAAGAACAAAGTAAGAGGTAAACATGGTTATAAATATGTCTCAANCTTTTTATATCTAAAACATTACAATGATGAAGAACGGTAGTGTATTCAATACATATCATGCAACTTTATCTCAAATAGAATAGTTTATCAATCGATTCTATCTCAAATAGAATAGTTTTAACATATAATAGTTTCTATTCTATTTCAAATAGAATATGCAAAGGTCTGGAATTTTAGTTTTTTCATGTCGGTAAAAACAATAAATAACATAGAAAATCGCCAAAGGTCTGGAATTTTATGAATTTCTATTCCATTTAAATTGGAATACACCAAACAGGTATGAATCTACTTATGACAACGAGAGAACTGTACATGCAGTGGCCAACGCAATTGTACAGAGGAATAATACGAAAGTAAGAGGAGAGTGAACAGAAGAAAGAGAGAACTTACATTTTTGGGGACGCGGAGTAGAGACATGTACATGCAGTGGCCAACCCAATTGTACAGAGGAATAATACGAAACTAAGAGGAGTGAACAGAAGAAAGAGAGAACTTACATTTTTGGGGACGTGGAGTAGAGACAGAGGAAGCTTACAATTCAAGTACCGGAGGAGATGGGGAAGGTGCGTAAGACGACATAGACGAATAATTTGGGAGAGAAAGACGGATTGGCGGGATGAAGTTGCCGTGTTCTCCGAGACGTTTCACTTGAGCCGAGGGCGACGATGGACAGTAGCTATGAATGTCGCAGAGAAGAAGACGGTTTCTACGGAGATATTGGTGATATTAAACGTTCAAATTTATTCCATTCCAAGTCAAATAGAATATAAACATCAATATTATATTTTATTCCAAGTCAAATGGAATATACCTAACGAAGATGATATCATTTTCAGACGATGTTGTAGATTTAACATTTATAGGTTTAAGAACAACAAAACTCTAATTCCCAATAGAAACTAGAAATAGAATTGACAATAGCAGGAGATAAAGAGAAGAAACCGGAGAACTTACCGACAGTAATCGGAGAAGAATGGAGTTTCAGAGATGTAGTTGATAACGGCGCCGGCCCTGCGGAGTACACACCAAGGACTCCTTGTCGATTGATGTAGCTGAGTAGATCCGGTGGGTTATAACGAGGACGAAGATGTCAAAAATCGCGGAGAAGGAGAAGATTCGACGGGTTCAGTGGAAGTGTTCTGGGAGGCTTTTCACTTTCTAAGAAGTTATTGGGATATGTGAAAAGAAAGTGTGGACTATGGTAAGACACGATTTATAATTGGAGACCAAAAAAAGAAAATTAAATTTTTTTTTCTATTGCCGGTGAAACCGGTTGAGTGCAGGGATAATATTGTATTATTATAGAAAACAGACGACGTGAGTGGATCCGTGAGGGTTTTTAGCTATTTGGCAAATTATAAGTTATTGTCTTGCTATATGGCCTAATTCCCCTAAAAAGAATACTAAAAAAACATCAAAATCAAAGGTCAAATTTAACTTTGGTATAATCCCAAAGTGCTCATAATGAAAAATATTGACCAAACTACCCTTCACCCATCATTCATCTTAAAAAAAAAGGTCAAATACTTCCCCACCGTCTCTCTCTCTCCCCGCGGACAAAGAAAGCTTTGCAATTTGCAGACTCATTCATTATTATTTGTACCCATCTTCCCTTAACCAAAAAAATGTCAACAGAAGATAAGTGGTGAAGAAAGAGATAATCAGACAAGCCCTTTAAGTTCTGTTCTTTGTGTGTTTTGGTTCCTGTCTGTAGAAGAAATGGGAAGCAAATGGCGAAAAGCAAAGGTAGCTTTAGGTGTAAATCTTTGCCTATACGTTCCTAAAACGCTTGAAGAAGAGTCAAGAAGATCAGACGACACCGTTTCGCTTTCTCCGGTAACGGTTCGAAGACCCACGACGCCGGTTCCTTCCTCCTCTGGTCTACGGTTGCCTCGTTCCTTTAGCAAATCCTCTTCAAAGGTTTGATTTTTTTTGTACCTTTTAAGATTCAAAGTTTAGGTTTTTATCCGTTCCATTTCTAAAGGTTGAATTTTTCCGGTCATATTTTTTTTTTAACTTCGAATTGTTTTAGCAAAATTATAAAGTTGTAAAATTCGGTTTTGGGTCACCGTTGGATCCCAAATCCAAGGGCTAATCTTTCTTGGAACTCCAAAAATTAATTTAATTTGCTTTTTTTTATTGTTATTTGTATCTATTTGTAACTTTATTAATTTGTTTAATCTTCAACTAGAGCTAATAGTACTTTTTTTCTAAAAAAGTGTTTGGATCTTCACGCACATCAAATGATCTTTTTGACTAAACAAAAACTCATTTATTTTGAAGGGAATAAAATTATGAAAATAAGCTTAAAATGGAGAATGTTCCATATGCTTATGTGTGGGTTTTCAACTTCTATGACCTTCATGTGTCTGCCTATCAACTTTGAAAATCTGCCAATAGATGTTGTTTTAGAGATTCATAAACTTTCAAAGGATTGACCTTTTTGAAAAATATTGATGAAAGAAGAATCTTTTTTTAGTCAAATAATAATGTCTTGAGGGATAATGAGGATTAGTAGATGAAAATGTAGAATGCTTAGTGAGACTAGGATTGGTAAACGTCTCTCTTTCAAAACTAACTTTTACCTTATAATTCGAACCATTACATACTCATCAAGATTTTGACAATACGTACCTGCCTTAAGATAGTAAGATTGGGTTCCTGTCTTTGTCCCTTGTTTATAGTGCATTTTGTTTCTTTCTTTCTCCATTATTTCTTGGTATTGTTTAAAGAAAGATGAGCAATTTGCTGTGATGTAATTATCAACTTTCCTAAATGGAACCACTATGGTATAAAGTTTATGAGAATAGTCTAGTGCACTTCTAAGGACCAATCTTTCAACTTTTCAATTATTGGTGAAAGATACCCTTCTTAGTGCTCTAAATCTACTGTTGTTAATTTGATATTCTCCTTACTCTAAAACTCAACTGTAGTTTTCAAAACCTGAACAAAATAGCTGTTAATATTAAGTTTTAACCATTTAATTAGATAACTATATAGATATTTCAATTTTATTCTTTGAGGTTCACATTTTCTTCATTTTGCTATTTCTGGCGTTGAATATACCTAAAAAAGATTCTGATTACTGATTTGGTTAAATACTGTTCTTTAACTTTATAAAGCTGTGTCCTTTGTCCTTTCCCTCTCTTTTGTCTATTGTTCTTTTAATTGTTTGACCTCATAGATTCCAAAGAATGTTAATCAAGATTCCACATTCTAAACAAAGATACCATTTTCTTTTCTTGGTCCAAGATTATTGAATGGTCAAACTACTAAACCCAATGATTAAACTTAAACTCAACTCTCTCTCAGAGACCTTTTTTCCAAGTCATGGTAATAGAAAGATTCCCTCTCTTTTTTTCCTTTCTGGTTTGCACTTCTTTTCATGCATCATTCAATAATAGAGCCTCATAGTAACATGTGTCAGAGACTATGACATGACTCAGGTTTCTTTGGATTCTTTGTAATTACGTAAATGACCTTATTCTGCTTTGTTTGTAACTGCAGAAAACGTGTGCAATATGTTTAACGACCATGAAAGCTGGACAAGGCCACGCAATCTTCACAGCGGAATGCTCTCACTCGTTTCATTTCCATTGCATCACCACCAATGTCAAACACGGCAACCAGTTCTGTCCCGTTTGTCGCGCCAAATGGAACGAGGTCCCTCTTCAGAGCCCTAATGCTAAGTCTAAGTCTCCAATAGTTAGACCAAGAGATGATGCTTGGATGACAATACCACCACGCAGGTCCTCTCACAACCAACCTCCCTCACGTCCAAGGCCCGTCACATCGATCTTTAACACCGAGCCAGCAGTTTTTGACGACGATGACGCTCTGGAACATCAAAACCGTAATGCTGAAACAGAACCTTGTGTTACAAGGAAGTTAGAAGTTAAAACGTATCCAGAGGTTTCAGAAGTGTTGAGATCTGTTTCCTTTAAAGATTTCTCTGTACTGATCAATCTAAAAGCTCCTACCGCTTCAAACTCTTCTTCACGGGCCCCTGTTGATCTAGTCACGGTTCTTGACGTCAGCGGAAGCATGGCCGGAACAAAGCTAGCGTTGCTGAAACGAGCGATGGGGTTTGTGATACAGAATCTCGGCCCGTTAGACCGTCTCTCTGTCATCTCCTTCTCCTCAACAGCGCGCCGTAACTTCCCTCTCCGTCTCATGACGGAGACAGGGAAGCAAGAGGCTCTGCAGTCTGTTAACTCGTTGGTCTCTAACGGAGGGACCAACATCGCAGAAGCCTTGAGGAAAGGCGCGAAAGTTTTGGTTGAACGGAGATTCAAGAACTCGGTGTCGAGCATCGTGTTGTTATCAGACGGGCAAGATACATACACTCAAGGAAGTGATTACATAACCTTTCTTCCTAAAGAGAAACGTATCCCGGTTCACGCATTTGGGTTTGGTGCTGACCATGACGCGTCCTTGATGCATTCAATTGCTGAAAACTCCGGAGGGACGTTTTCTTTTATAGAGTCTGAGACGTTTATACAAGACGCATTTGCGCAGTGCATTGGTGGTCTTCTTAGCGTTGTTGTGCAAGAGCTTTGCGTTAAGGTTGAGTGTGTTCGTCCTGTGATGAGGATTGGTTCGGTTAAAGCTGGGAGCTACCGGTTTGATTCAAGAACCGGTAAGATTGGAGTTGGTGATCTCTACGCTGAGGAAGAGAGGAACTTCTTGGTGAATCTTGACGTCCCTGTTGGAGGTTCAGATCCTATGTCGTTGCTTAGGGTTAGATGTGTTTATAAAGATCCGGTGACGAAAGAGACTGTTGAGTTTACTTCTAGTGAAGTGAAGATTCTCAGACCGGTGGTGATGTTAGAAGGAAGAAAAGTGGTTTCTGTTGAAGTTGATAGGCAGAGAATAAGGTTACGTGCGGCGGAAGCAATCTCTGAAGCTAGGGTTTTAGCTGAGAGGGGTGATTTAACTGAAGCTGTTTCGGTTTTGGAAACTTGTCGTGGGGCTTTGTCGGACACTGTGTCGGGACAAGCGGGAGATCCGTTGTGTGTGTCTTTGTGTGCAGAGCTGAAGGAGACGCAGGAGAGGATGGCGAGTAGACAAGTGTACGAGACTTCGGGTAGGGCTTATGTACTAGCTGGTCTGAGCTCGCATTCGTGGCAAAGAGCCACGGTGAGAGGTGACATGAGTGGTGGTGATACTACGACGGTTAGTTATCAGACGCAGTCAATGGTGGATATGGTGAATCTTTCTCAGACCATGAAGTTTGGTTCCCCTTTGGTGGCTAGTTCTAATAAGTCCAACTCAAGTTCGAATCAGAGGAAACTTCGGCAGGCTCTTACGTTTCCGGCGAGGCCAAGACCTAGGTGATTTTGCTTGGTGGAAGAGATTATGAATTTTTCAAATGTTTGTTTTTTGTTTTGGGATTGGGAGGGGTAGTTTATGCTAAAATTTCTCAATTTTGGGGGGTATAAGTTGAATGCTTAGTTTCTTGTGGGGTTTGAAACAAAAAAAAAAGTGACAAATGTGGTAATGCAGGCTATGTATATATATATTATTGGCATTTATAGTAATAGTGGTTCTTTTTTTTTTCTTAATTATAATTTTGTTATTTTCCTTAATGTGTTTAGTGAGGTATAACCGTCTAGTGTGTGTGTGTACGTTGTGAATATTGTGATTTTTTTTTTCTGGAACACAAGTGAATATTGTGATTGTGGAGAGAAATATTCTAAAAATGTTAATACTTGAAAAATCCAATATTTTCCAATTGTAAATGGCTTTTACTTTAGGATATAGTTACTAGAATTTCTATATGGTATTCTATTTGAGTATTGATGGTAACAAAATTTGGCAGATTAATGGTTGATGGTATAGTTTCTGAGGAAACTTTAAAGTAGCTATTAGCTAACATGCAAATAATTGAAAATTACTGATATTTTTTAAAAAAATATTGTGTAAAGCTGCTATTTTATATGCTTAATAACTCAGAAAAAAAATATCAGGTGAAACAATAGCTGAATAACTAAAAGTTAGCTGGTTTTTGAAGATAAGTATATGGTCGTGTGTTTATAGAGAAGATATCGATGGTAAACTTACCATAGTTTCATAGTTCATTTACTTGAACATCGATTGGGCTTGTTAACCCATTGATGATTTGTCGCGTTGTTTGATTTGGACGTACACATAAGTCACTAGTCGATCTGAATGTGTGTATACGCGCATATAAAACTAAAGGAGGAACATAATGCAAGTTGCAACGACTATACAATTCTTTACACTAATGCGATATAATATGTAATTGATATTTATACTGTTTTCAGTGCAATTTGTTTGGTATTTAAGAACCGAAGACAATCGACATGCGAGTTGCTCATGTGCTGAAGCCTTTGTTATTGGATCTCAAGATCTAACTCTAAAATCCTCTCAGTAAAGTCAAAGTACTCATGTTTATAAAGTCAAATAGTTATTAATATCATTTGCTAGTAAAAATCAATTAAAGAGTCGTGTGTCATGATTCAGGCTAAAAGAGAATTCTATGTCGGTCGAAAATATATGTTGTTAATGTTTAATTGAATGATTTAGACTACCTAATCACGCACAAGTAAGGATAGATTCTCGTGGCATACCAATATTCTTTTCCACCGAATATAACTTAACATCGAGTAGAAACAACACAAAATTGGCCTGGAAAGACTATATACCCTGATTACAAAAAAAAGGAGACTTTATACCTTCATTAAAATCTATCTTTTTTTATATGTTCATTGGATGAGACGACCATAAATATATGACCCGTGACAAACATATTAAGCTTAGAAAAAATCAACAAATACATGGAAACTAGCCTAATTTGATGTAATCTTACATATGGAAATTCCAGACGAACATGTCAATATCAATGAATGGTTTGATCACAGTGATCATGAGTTATATAGCCTATAATTTTTATACTTATAGTCAAATTCTAGACTAATCAGTTATTGTTTCCCTGGTCTTTTTTTCCGTTAAGTCTAGAAATGATTATATTTAGATGACGACATCCCAAGCAGCATACAAGAGTTTTTTTTTCTGAGAAAAGAGAAACACACAAGAGTTTATGCTATGATATGTACGTTTCACATTGACATTTTAGTATTTTGCATTTGTTTGCCTTGTACTTATCTGTTAAATACATGTCGCATCACCAAAAGAAACATAACGATCGATATCACTTCTTTGGCTTCTATATTTCAATATCTTGTATGGATCGTGGTTGGATTGATCTATTTTCAGAATTGACTGGTTGATACCTAACAACACAGGACATTCTTGCTAGTTGCATGTATGCTGAACCTGGTGAGCTCATAAGCCGCCTATGCGAACGTGCTATGTGACGTATCGGCTTTGCTTTGTCTTTGTTTACCTAGTTTAAAATTTCAAATGCATGAAACGAAATCATACAAAACAAACTAATATTAGATTCACAGAAAAAGATCCAAATCCAAAAGTTTGGTGAAGTTCTAATAAGTAATTACACTATACAATTCGTGTCTGCGTGACTGTGTGTCGGTCCAAAGATATTAGGTACTATGGAAGTATGGAACAACGAAGCTGCTTGGTCGTCAAAATGGGTTGGTTTATAATAAGTCAAACTAAAACTACTTAGGAAAAATATATATGATTACAAAATTTTCTATATTTGGAGAGACCCGGCCATCATAATTCACTTTTCGTTAAAATTTTCACCTTTGAAATCACATGTTTCAGTAGCAGCTCGAGAAAATGAAATAATGTGTATTGCATATTGAAATGTGCCTGAGATAAATAGTGTGTAGATGTTTTAAGCTAGAAATGTGATGTGAATGGATGCTACGAGTTGATTAATGCAAGGAACACTGTGAACTTTTACTTATACCCAAAAAAAACAAGAAAAGTTATAACTTTATAACGAATTAACTTGTACTCGAACATATTACGTATATACGTAAACACGTATATTTGATATGTCATATGTGTATATAATTGTACATGAAGTGTATCAGAAGAAGCAATCGAAGTCAAAAAAGTTAGCAATCATGTTCACCGTATTTTCGATTGGATGATTAAAGATTCTTGTATTCTTAACTAAAGTCACACATGCGTGACCGACCTCAAAACCCAACCTAAGTAACAAATAATTACCTATCATAAAGTTAATAATGATAGTTACCATGATATTTTATCCTACGAAAAGAAGATAATATGCTTAAAGTAGTGTTGTTTTCTCTTTACTTTTTAGTATGTGTATACATTATTTTAGTCCAAACATTTATATTAATATTTAAAACGGAGCTTTTCTGGTAAAATGTTCGGCTTAAGTCCATTAAAAAGTTGAATATTAAGATATGGAAAGACTATACAATATAAGAAAAAAGTGGCAAATTGCTGCAAAGTTCAACTACGTATCTACATGCAAATTGCAAAGTCAAACCGTCGCTTGTCCGAAACATCTGTATAAAATGTTTTTGTACTCCAAACTTTCAATAACCCGTTCTCTACTCAAATATTTCTTTCTTTCGATTCTTGTACTCTTTTTTTTCACTTCAGCTTTGCATTATATATTCAAGGAGAATCTGTACTATAATATAATCTATCTAGTGGATCGATTGTTGAAGAAGAAAAGGTTTGATTCCCACAATACGATCGATCATGTACACAAAGGTAATATACTTTACTATCATCTTCTCGATTAAGCTGCACAAATCCTTAAATTATTATATCAACGAATAGCGTGCATTAAATTTTATTTTGTTTTCACACATAGCATATGGAAGTGTTAAATGCAAATTGTATCCCGTTTATACGCCAATGAACCCGGCTTTTCCCTCCTATTTATCCCTTTCAAAACACTATTTTCTCAAATAATAAGTATATAAAAAACAGAATAATTTACAAAATCTAACGGTATCGCTAACTTTTTTTAAACACATTCAACCAATAAGATAAAACCTTTAATTTTTTTATCAACACTTTATTCTAAATCAACGTTTGTCCCATGTGATATCCTCCTTAACGTTTGTCCCATGTGATCTCCTCCTTATCTAATGCTTCTTCACCCACAAATCTCACTTTATGCACATAACAGTGTTTATTTCTTGTTCATCCTATATATACATTACTATAAACAGTTCACAGATAAATAAAATACACACCAACCTATCTCTTATTTTCTTCAAATTAATATAAGGTTTTGGACTCTGAGAAAATGGGTTTCATCCGGCCACCGGCGGTGAGAAGCGGCGGGGACTATATAGAGAGCATTTTCGGAGAATACTCCACCGGAAAACCAAAGCCTACCCGGAAACTCAACTTCGTGACGGCGCTTACGTTTCTTCAGTTCGGATTTGCCGTCTACGCAACAGTGCTTCTCTACTACATGAGTCCTTCCATTGACTTACGGACCAAACCGGACTTCACTTGGGCCACTAAATGGGCCCATAACATGCGTAACTACATTGTCACTCCTCACGTCGTCAGCCATTTCCAAGACTCTTCGGCGATGTTATCTCCGGCGGAGGTTTGTGAGTACGAGAAGATAGATTTCTCTCAGAAGAAATCAAACGACGAGAAGATGATCAAGATGAAAAGGGAGCTATACGACGACGTATTAAACTTCCAGAAGAAGAACCTCGGGTCCGAGAGTTTAGAAGAGCTGATGAAAATGAAGTCTAAATGGGCCTTAAACGGGCCTAACAAACCGAAAGTAACGGTAATACTAAATCATTTCAAAAGAAAAACACTCTGCGCGCAGCTCGATTCCCTCCTCCACCAAACGCTACCGTTTCACCACGTCTGGGTTTTAGCCTTCGGCACCCCCAACGAAGCTTCTCTCCGGAGAATATCCGAGAGCTACAACGACTCTCGGATCAGCTTCATCAGCTCCAACTACGACTTCAAATACTACGGGAGGTTCCAGATCGCGCTTCAGACGGAAGCCGATTTGGTCTACATCCTCGACGACGATATGATCCCCGGGAAGAAGATGCTTCAGATGCTCGCGCACGTCGCGGGGACAGAGAAGTATGAGAACTCGGTTCTGGGAAGTATAGGGAGGATTCTACCGTTTCGGCAGAAGGATTTCACGTTTCCGAGTTATAGGAAGTTTAGATCGAAGGAGGCGGGGCTTTACTTGCCTGATCCGGCGTATGATATCACGTTGGACCGGATTCTTCAGGTTGATTTTTTGTCGAGCTCGTGGTTCTTATCGGCTGAGCTTGTTAAAGCGTTGTTCATTGAGAAGCCTTTCACGTTTGCTACTGGCGAAGATCTTCACCTGAGGTTAGTTTTGTAGTAGGGTCTAGGCCTTGTGGATTCGGTTCGGTTAATTCGGTTTTCAGTTAGTTCAGTTTGTTTAAAATTGTGTCAAATTGAATTTAAAAACTCAGTCTAGTATTCGGTTTGTGAAAAGTCGGTTGAACTTAACCGAAGTTTTCGTTTTCGGTTAGATTTTCAGTTTAATTGATTAGAACTCATACAAGTTCGGTTAATTTGGTTAGCTCAGTTCAAAATTTTGATTAGTTAGTTTTGAAATTTGGTTAAAATCAATATGGTTTTGGTTTAGTTCATTGCTTTTCTTTTGAAAGTTAAATTAACCAATTGTTAAACCGAACCAATAACCGTTTTTAATATGGAAACTGAACGAAATCTAAACCGGACCTGAACCGAAAACTAAAAATTTTGATTAGGTTTGATTCAAATCCTCAGGTCTAGTAACGTCCATGGGATGATGATCTTCGTAGAATCATGTAAAGTTTAAAAAGGAAACTTGTTCCTCAAGTAATGATTAGCGTTTTTTTGGTGTGTTTTTGCAGCTATCAGCTTCAGAAGTACAGAAACGCAGCTTCTTTTGTTCTTCCTGTGGATCCAAACGACAAAGAAACATGGGGAGATAGTGAACACAGACTCGCGTATGTCTCCGAGACCACAGTGATCTTCAAAAACATAGTAGAAGTGAGAGACAACCAATGGTGGAAAGCGCTTTCAACTGGCTACATAACTCAATGGGCTGCAATGTATCCTCAAAAGATCGACGCACTGTTCTACGCGCATTCAATCGATGAAGTCAAAGCACTTGGTCCTCTGCTCGAAAAGTTCAGAACCACTGTTGGCAAAAAGGCTTACATCGTGGTCTCCGGTGGTAAGTTCTGTCCGTGCGAGGAAGCTGCCTCAGCTTTGAACTGGCCTAAGGTGGTTTGTACCGAGAGGAGGTTCAAGATTTTTGATTTGGAAGTTGGTGCTATCTTGGGTGTGTCTAACTCAGAGGTGCCTGTGTTACAAGCTGTGTATTCGAGCATGAAAGGACTTATCAAGATCCATAACCCTAGCGTGGTGATCACGGTAGCTGATGCTGATACTAATGTCAAGAAAGCTTTGAAAATGGCTACTGAGACAAATGTTAATGGTACTGCATTGGTTCTTCTCCCTAGAGCTTCTATCTCCAAGGTTTTATGGATGGCTGATTTGAGATCAACAGCATTGCCAAGTAAGAATCTTTGACCTCTTGGTTTCTGATGTAGAGGAAACTTCTAGAGATAGAGTTTAGATCCGTTGATTATAAAAATAACCGGAAATCATTTCTCATGTTACAAAAACCGAAAAACAAACTTAAACCTAAACGGCTATACATAAGAAAACTTAAAATCCTAAAACAATAAAGATATATTATCATGTAAATAATAAATCAGATAACCAATATATCTACATATTGTCATTGCTATTTTACCAACCTGAAACTGATATTAATGCAGATTGGAATAAGATGAGAGTGTCAGTGAACATCATCACACAAAACAGAGCTCAATCTTTATTAAGACTACTTAGGTCTTTGAGCAATGCATACTACCTTGGAGACGAGATACCTCTCAGCTTCAACATGGACAGCAAAGTGGATGAAGAGACAATAAAAGTAGTAACCACATTCGATTGGCCTCATGGTCCCAAAACATTAAGAAGAAGAATCATCCAAGGAGGATTAATCCGAGCCGTGAGTGAGAGTTGGTATCCAGCTTCTGATGATGACTTTGGTCTCTTACTTGAAGATGACATTGAAGTCTCTCCTTATTACTACCTCTGGATCAAATACGCTCTCCTCGCTTACCACTACGACCCTCAAGTATCTTTCCCTGAGCTCTCCTCCATCTCTCTTTACACACCAAAGATCGTTGAGGTTGTTAAAGAGAGACCTAAATGGAACCCAACAGAGTTCTTTAAAAAGATTCATCCACACACTCCTTACCTTCATCAGTTACCTTGTAGTTGGGGAGCTGTCTTCTTCCCAAAGCAATGGAGAGAGTTCTACGTCTACATGAACATGAGATTCACTGAAAACGCTAAAGCAAACCCGGTTCAGATTCCTAAATCAAGAACCAACGGTTGGCAAGCTTCTTGGAAGAAGTTCTTGATAGACATGATGTACCTTAGAGGTTATGTTAGTCTCTACCCTAACTTCCCTAACCAACAGAGCTTCTCAACAAACCACATGGAACCAGGAGCTCACATTGCAGCTAAAGACAATGTGGTGAAACACAACAAAACTGATTTTGAAGTTCCTTTGCTTATGGATGATTTTAGAAACTTCTTACCGAACCTGAAACTCCCTCCTGCTTCAAAGCTTCCTTCACTTAACCTCTTTAACGTTCCTGTTTCTCTTAAGGGTCTTAAAGCTGCAGGAGCTAAGCTTGGTCAAGACGTTCTTCGTTGCAACAATGTCTCTGAGATTGTTGCTGTAAATCATCAGACAGGTTTACCTGCTAGGTGCATGAAGTTCTGAAGATACTTTGATTCTTTGTTATTTTTTACTATATGGTTTAAGGTTTAAAAATATATATAAATATATCAAAACAGAGACAGACACTTACATAAACAACAAAAAAAAAGTTGTCTAAATGTAAATTTGATTAGAATTTCCTAATACTCTCACAAGAGATGAGATTATTACACAAAAGACCAGTTTACAAAGGAGAAAGCAAGACAATGCAAATTATTATTACTGTTATCGTTTTCAGAGGCAGCAAACACTTTCCAAGCAACAGCTTGTTCATAAGTGACATGTCTCCCCATTGTAGACAAACAGATTCCTGAAGGCAAGCAAGCAAATCCCTATAGAGACAAAACAAATGAGTGTCGCAGACATTATCTTATGACATTAAGGGTTTGTTTTTGTTTCTTTGTTACCTGTTGCATTAGCTTGGCGAAGTCGGAGCAGAGAGCCTTTCTACCAGATTCATCAAAGATCTTCTCGAGTGTAATGTCTTGTAAGGCTACAAGTGTTGTCTCTAGCATTTCTAAACCAGCTTGGTTCGCGAATATGAACACTGGTTGAGGCTGCAAGCATAACCAAGACTTAAACTGATTAAATGGTGGGGATTTAATTTTACCACAAATTTAATACTCCCACCGTTTCAATTTAGTTGTCTGTTGTAATGTAAAATTTTCGTTTCAAAATAATGTATATTTACGATTTCAATGTCAAATTTATTAATTTTATCTACTTTTCTATTTTTCTATTGGTAAAAATGTGGTTAAATGTATAGATAATTGTGTTTTTTTAGAAAATATGTAAAATTAAATGTTGTCTTAATTTGTGTGAAAAACTTAAAACAATAACTAAATTGAAAGAAGGAATAATACTTTTTAAATTTACTATGATTTTTTATAAATAATCTAAAAGTTTATAAACTCAACTCCACCTCTTAAATACTAAATCATAAAAAAAAATCAGTAAATCATGAACTCTAATGTTATCACTAAACATTAAATCTAAATGTTAGGCTATTTTTGATTAAGGTATTTTGAAAATCGATACAGTATTTTAAACAATTTCTTTAAATCATTTAACATGTCTATGGACACTGACCTTTAAAGAGCAACATAAGATGGCATTTTGGTGATCCCAAATAAGTTTCAACACCGAGTCATTGCTTCCAAGAGAGTCAATAGTCACCAACTCCGAACCTAAGTGGTGACTAGAACAAAAAACATTAGACATATAAGACATTCATCATTAGTTAGCTCGAGGTTTGTAAGAAAAGAAAACTCACGTGTAACTTTGGGAGATCCACTGAGCAAGAGTAACAGCTTCAGGAGATTCCGGTGACAACTTGGAGCCAAGACTCGAGCTTATCACAGTCGGTGAGATCGCCATAGCAACACGTTGAACCGATGAAATCACGCTCCTCACGTACTGACAAGCCATACCAGCAACATTTTCTTGCAAGTTGTTTTCAAATGGGAACTGAAAGGCTATAGTGAGTATACATCTTGAGCTTGAGCTAGAAGAAGAGTTTCCAGAAGCATTAGTCTCTGGTGATGGACCAACTTCAAGGGTAGAAGTTAAGTTTAATGTCCTGTGGTTAGACGTTATTAAGTCATCTCCCTGTATAATTTTTTTTTTTTTTTAAATGTTAGACTTGAGACACAAGCAATGTCGAAGTAACTGATGGAGCAAAAAGACTAGTACCGTTTTAGCATCAATGGGTATGACACGGAATCCAGAGGGAACAAGTGGAGCATCATCAGGGAACATCTCATTAATAGGAGCAAAGATTAGTTCTGAACAAGCTCCAACAGCATTCTCATCAATTCCAGTACAAATCTGCCATACATCATTAAGGTCATTTTAACCAGTGTTCTAAAAATCGGTCTAGGCATTCAAAAAATTGGTCTAGTGCCTGTCTAATCAATAATCTCCTATAAGGCGCCTAATAATTACCGTCTAACGATTTTTTGAACATTGATTTTAACTATGAATCAGAGAGAAACTTCAAGAACCAAAAAGATGTACCTGAAGAAGATGAACATCCCGGGACATAAACCCATCTTCTTGTGCAAGAGAATGACCTTCTAGTCTAACAACTTCAAGCATCTGAACACAACACCACCAAACACATAAACTAGTAAAAACACAAACGATAATGTTTTTTTTTCTCAGCTTTGAAAGACTTACTTCTTCGTGTTCAATCGTATGCCCTAAAGGCATAATGACTTGGCTCCCAGTGAACCTTGTAGGCCTCACTCCAGGATAACCAAAACTACCAGCTTTAAGCGTCGCAGCAGAATATGCATCAACATGGAAATCAGCCCATTCTGACCGATGCTCTCTTAGAAACCGGACCAAAACCGCAGGTGGAACATTCTACAGAAAGAAACACACATTACAAACCAATGGAAGGAGACACAAAGTACAAAAACTAACTTACTTGGAGAAGCATTGAAGCCTTGGCACAAAGCAAGCCTCCAAGGAACGAAAGAGAGCTAGTTATATTACTCAAATGCTTGGTGGAGTTGATAGCAACAATGATGTCTTCAGCTCCATCACAATGCATTGTAGACCACCCGTCATCACCAAACCCATTAACCGCATCATTAAAACCCCTGTAAGAAAACAGAGTAAAATCAAGAACAGCATACATAGAGCAACAAAAAGAATTAGATTGTTACCTGCTTAGTCTCTGGCTAAAGGTTCTAAGAACAGCAGGCTGCCTTCCTAATCCATACACTAACTCACCATTAGACTCCTGTGCTAGTTGCCTGATATACCTCAATGCCTAAAACATGAAACCAATTCATATGTATATGAATCAATCATATCTCAAGAATAATTTATATATGTATATACACTCACGGAAATGGTCATCTTTTGTGCAACTACTTTGGATGACTCGTAAAGGGGTCTAAGCACATCTGGAACACTCCAAGCCTAGAATAAAACAAGATTTATAATCAAGTTTTTTTTAACAAAGTTTAAGGAAGTAAAGAATATGAGTAAGTACTTCAAGATTAAGGTGATCGACAATGTGAATAATTGAACCTCCACCATCACAAGGCCTTATTAAATACCCACTTGAAAGCATTTCTGCTCTCACAAACTGAGAAGCTGAAGCAGCATTAGGACCAGCTCCAGAACCAGAAAGTGACTTTTCACACACCTTTTAAAGACACATACAAAAACATCAGTAGCCTGAGAGATAAACATTAGAGAGACACTATAAGTGTTGCATACCACAAAACTGCCATTGTCCAGGCTAGTTGTGTATCTCAGGGTCCAGAAATCGCGAGCAGGAGCCAGAGTCGTTGGTGCATACATCTGACCAAAATGTATTTTATGCATCTTTAATTGTTATGAGATAGAAAATTATACCATAAGAGAACAAAGATTCACCTGCATATAGACAAGCTCTATTGTGCCGCCGTTACCTGCAGGGAACATAGTGAACACTTCAAGGCTTCTACAGTCACGGAACCAAGATGGCTTATCTTTAAGGATCTCTGCAATCTGCAAGAAAGTAGAAAAAACAAACCTGAACCAGTTGAGTGGTTCTGTAATGTAAATGTAAACAAGAGTGGTCCTTTCTTTACCTTGACAGGTTCTAAACTAACAAGACCACAGGCTCGAGCTGCCACTCCACTACATCTTTGCGAAATAGCAAATATTCCAACCGAATCCGGACCAGGCTAAACACACAACAAAACATCATTTCATTGTTACACATATAATCAAATTTAACATTTTATGTTTTTAAAAAAAAAAACCTTCATCCCAGGCATCTGAACCCACTCAACAGCAGTTCCTGTAGCCTTGGAAAGGAACTCTGCCAATGTCTCCTCTGCAATAGAGAGCAATCTAACAAACAAAACCAAGTGATTAGGCCAAGAAAAGTCACTAAAAGTATCAAAATAGAAACCATACCCAGCAGGACTATTAGCATCTCTAAGAGAATGCTGAGGAGTTGTGACCACAGAGTCACAGCTTCCATCATTCACCTGAAACCACAAACACAAATCAAATAACATAACACACGCTCGATTCTTTAAAAAGACATTTTCAAAACAAAGAAAGACATACAACAGTAGTAAGCTGCTGCTTCATATATCCATTTTCACAAACAAGGTGAGAAACTTGCTTCTGCAATCTATCATTCTCCTCCATCAACAGTTTATTCATAGCTGAAAGCTTCCTGTTTACACTCTGGAGCCTCGACGCCTCTTTCCTCTGTTTATCTCGACACCTTAACCACAACAAAACAGTTAAACCAAAAAAAAGGTCTGAAGATTAAGATCACATAATCTATGAAAGAGTTGTATGTGTGTACCTTCGGTTTTGAAACCAGACTTTGATCTGCTTAGGCTCGATGTTAGCCAAAATGGAACATTCACGGATCAACTGTTGACGTCTGAGAGAGCTTGGTTTAGGACACTCGGCGTAGACACGCTCGAGGGCTTCAACTTGGTCGGCTGTGTACCTAACGTACTTACCGTTACTGTCTAAATGTCTGTTCATGTTATCAGAAGAGTCTCGGTGATTAGCCAAAGTAATCATCTCCATTTTTATGACCCACAAAACTCCAAAGTCTTCTTCTTCTTCTTCTTCTTTACTTCTTTTTATTTTATTTATTTCTTTCTGTTTCGTAAGAGAAACGTAAATTGTAATAATCCTTTTGTGTTTTTTTTCTTGTATTCAGACAAAGAAGATTCTATGGTCGTGGCTTGTAGCGGAAGACCTACGACATGTGGACATAGAAAAAGAAACGTTTTAAAGAAACAGAGGAAAAGAAAGAATTTAAAGATTCTTTGAGGGAAGAAAAAAACAGAGTAACACCAAACCAATTACAGAGTTTTGAGTTTATGAGAAAGAAAAACACACAAACTTTCCCGAGAAAGTGACTTGGGTTCTCTCAGACACTGATTTGTTGTAGCATTATGAGAACTCAGGACAAATAAACCTTCTGGAGAGTGATGTAGAAGAAAAACAGAGCATTACTTGGTGTACACCGTTGAACAAGTTTAAAAGTTTTGTTTCAAGATTTTGGAGAGAGTTTAATGGAAAGAAAGGAGAGTGGTTATTATGTGAGAAGGTAAAGACTAAAGAAGAAAGAGAGAGAGAGAGTAGGTGATGTATGTCCGCTCTATCAAATAAGAACAGAGAAAAAAGAGAGAGAGATTGTGAAAACAGAGGATTTGCACGCAAACCGACAAGCTGTTCATAAGCGAAAAAAGAAAACTTGTGCGTTTCTTCTTTTTATTTTTTTATTTAATTTATTTATACGGAAGTCATTTACTATGTTGTCCCAATTGTTTATATGAAAATAGCATTTTTAAAAGATTTTATAAATTTATCTTTTATTTTATTATGTGATCTCATTTATTTTTATACTTTCTCCAATCTACTTTAAATCCGTTCATAGCCGAGTTTAATTATAAATTTAAATTTTTTGTACTATAAAATAAAAATGTACAATATCTTAACTAAAATTCAAATATAATATGTTATATTTGCCAAATCTAGTAGGTGAATGTAAAATTATAGTATCTAAAAGTTCAAAAAATATTGCGATCACCATATTCTAAACAGAAATCTACCATCTCGGACTTCCATGAAATTCTTTGAGACATTTTTATTTTATCGGATGTCTTTGATTTAGTTTTGTTTAGATTTATCCTCGGTGATTTTTTAATCTTTGAAGATGGTTTAGCTAAACAGATCCGGAGGTATATTGTAATTAAACTCATTTAAATTATTAATTAAGTAGTTTAGTGATAAAAATAAAAATTACTAAAAATAACAAACTTCATGATTAAATTTTCTATGTAATTCTTAGATATTTAATATTTTTTTATTGTATGGATTTTATTTTGATGTTATGTAATATTTATCTTATTTTATTGAGATGTACTTAAGTTATTTTAATTAATTTAGTACATGTGTTTGTAAAAAAAATGAAGACCAAAAATAAAATAAAAATAATTTTGAAGTTGAGTTAGAATAACAAAACTTCAAAATTTGAAGATTTAAAATTGGGTAGGTAATGCCAACTCAAAAGCTTTGATTGTATAGTACAGTATATTTAACACAACTAAAAAATATAAAAAATGGTTTTCTCCAAATTGTGATGTCAAATTGCCAATCAAGTATAAATGTGTTATATTTACATTTTTCACTTCCTTCCGTTTTGCGATTAAAAAAATTTAGTTTTTTCTCATTTTTCCATTTTCATTTACTCTAAAAGTTACTAATCACACTCAAATTTGGACAAGCTATGAATGAGAATCACAAAGCATCCAAGTGTCTAAATTTATGTTAGATCCAATTTCCCATGAGAATATAAGATCTTCAAGAGTTTTTATTTAGATTTGGCCAAGTTTTTATCTATATCATCATATTTTTATAATAAAAAAAATCATCTCTTTTTTTTTGAAAAAGACTTTAAAAAAAATTAGCTTCTTGGACAAATTATTTATAGCCCGAATTTTCAGTTGTTAATTAAAGCAATAATTCTGAAAATTATAAATGAAATTCAAGATCTTTATAATTTTTTTAAAAAATTTGTCAACAAAATGTAATTTGTACGTAAACTTTGTATGAAATATTCAAGCTATTCATGTCCAAGAAAATTTCAGATTGTGAAAATCCAGAATATTGTGAATTCGTTATTATTGGGAATCAGAGAAACAAAATTTTTGACGTTATTAAGAAAGAACAACAAACAAATAAAGCCAATGATCGCTCCCTGTCTCTGACATAATCATTTTAATACATCAAGCAATCAAAGTATGTCTTGTAATAAAAAACATTCTCTCTCTATCCCCTTTGTGGTAGTGTCTCCTTTGTTATAACGTCTTATCTCCATTTAATGTAACAACCAATTTGATATTTTCACTTCAATGATACCATAGTTAGGTAGGATTGGTTAAATTAGTAAAATCAACTAATTTACAGAGGAACTAAAATAATGAAAACCATTTCTGGATAAAATAACAGTAAATTATATTCTCCATAATCAAATGTTTTAAGAGAATAATTTAGAGCGAGGGCTGAGGCTAGAGCAGCTAACCAGTTAGTATTAATTAGTAAACTATGATCTACAAACTAATTAAAGCAGCGAATAATTAAATCTATAGACTACAATTTCAAAACTGAAAAAAGTAGAATGATCATTGATCAGTCAAACACAGTGATACGACTAAACGTCTTTGACATTTTTACATATCATACTGCCTTTTCTTTCATCTGTTAGTCTAATTACTTTCTGTAAAAAATATTTGTACTTTCTCTTTGATCCAAATATAAAAGTTACTTTCTTCTGGTTCCAAATTTATACCCTTTTCTCTCTGTTTTTCACTATTAACTGAACATGTCAATGCTATGTGTCATGTATGCCTAATAAATGTATTATGTACATGCCGCCATATGTTGTGTATGTATGGCACTTAAATCAGTCACCAAAAGTGAACTGCAATTATTCTTGGATTATATTTATTTTTTAATATTAATGTTTTCCTTAAACGAGAAAACGGCAATGCGCAATCGTGCTATTTATGCAATTGTCAAAACATTACATTTTGATTTTAAAGGATTATTTAAATTTAATAACTTATTTTGTTTTAAAAATTAATAATGCATCCATTATCTAAATTTAAAATTATTTATTTTGATCAATTTTATAATGTAAACAATTGAAAATTAAACTAAAGCCTTTTAAAATAAACTAAACCTACTTAATTGAGCCAAATTTTATATATTTAAATTTATTTTAAATTTTCTGAACTTAAATAACATGAATTAACCCAAAATTTACATTGATAATCATTAATTATATTCTGTTTATTTTTAATACTCCATTCATGTTTTTGTTATAAGATGTTTTGGTATTGAACACATAGCTTAATATTCTATTTTGTACATTTTCTAGAAAAATATCATTAACTATTTTTTTTAAACACAAACTTCATTGACTATCTAATAGATTATATTTCAACCACTAAAAACAATCTCCAGAATATAAAAAGTTATATTTTATAAAAAGTAGTAAATTTTACATTAGGAACAAAAAATGATATGTAATTTGAAACAAAAAAAATAGAGGGAGTATCATATTTCATTATAAAGTTATGAAACTAAATTTCCAACTGTTAGAAAGAAAATTGAAAGAAGGAGAAATAGAATTAATAAAGGATTATGGTTCCTTAATTCCAGACAATAATTAGGGATTATGGTTCCTTATTTCGAGAAAACATGACTTTTTTTAAACACTGAAAATCTTTAAAAGAAACCTTCTGCAAACCAATTAAATGTAAAAGTGTCTACAAATGAGAAACAGATCATTTATCATAATCCTATATACCACATGGTCCACACATCACATATGCAGACCCTCTTTTCTAACGGTGTTTACACCACAACAGCGAACATGTAAGTTTATGTTAGAATTAAATACATTTGCCTCATTTACCATCTTCGCAGTACAACAGCTAACATGTAAATTGATCTTGATGATATGAATTTGCCGAAATATAATCTCATTAGTGTTTTATTTACTTTTCAATCTGAAACCATTTCAGTATAATAATATAAAATGAAAAGTGTTGTCGACGTGGTATTTCCATCAGCTTTTCGCATGCGCCAAAAGTAACTCTCACGTGCTAACCACATATTTACACCATTTATATACTATTGTTTTTATTTTTTCAGAAAATCTTATGCTTAACCAATATATCTAGC